TTCCTCATCGATAATTGAACCTCCATTGGTTGTTGAGTCTACAGATGTCACTCTATATTGTAATGGGAGTCTAGCTTGGACCATGCATGAACTCAAAGGCGAAATAGATCTCGATAATACGGCAGGTCTAAGTACCATCTTGTCCTTAGCCTTTTCCTCATTATTGCATTTACCCTGACTAGAATTTCCAGGATTCCTCCTCCATACTAAATTTCTAGCTCGGAATTTCTTAGGTTTATAAGGCATTGATGGATTTTGAGTAATATAAATCTGATTAACCTGTCTTTGTAGTTCATGCATCTTCTTTTTTCTTTGTAACCTTCTTTTTTGAGTCCTTGTTACATTGGCCCCTGGACCCTGAACTTCTCCTGCTTCGAACCATTCACCTTCTGGTGGATCGCTTGGTATTTTCAAAGTCCTAGTTCGATGAGGTATCAGAGTTACCTCGGTCTCTTTTTTAGGTGGATCATCGAATTCCTCACCCCATCCAGTTGCAACCACTTCTTCTGAATGTATAGGAGGTGGGCCATAGTCGACGTAATAGTCGAATTTACCACTGGGCTCTCCCAATGTTCCAATCCTAGGGTCACCTTCTTCATAGCGTTGCTTGAAAGACTTCCGTTTTGTTGGGTACGTTGTCGAATTATCAACAACCCGAGCATTTCACTCCTGATTCGAACGTCTATTGCTATCTTGAACATTTCGGGGACGACCCCAATATTTAGTTTTTTTGTTATAATTCTGGGATCCAAATTGATCCCAAAAAGTCTTCTCTTGTGAGACTTCCTGTTTCGAAAAATGCTCTCTTCGTCGATCATAATTGATTTCTTCTTTACACAAAGCACATAGGTGCGGCTGCATCATTTTACCTTTAGGTTTTAGTGACACCATTCTCGTTATCACGGGGAAAGGATCAACATCTACCTCCATAGGAGCCTTTTCTTTATCATCCGCAAATTTAATTTTGCCTTGTCAAATTGCTTCTTGAATGTTCTTTCTTAACACAATACAATCAACCGTGTTATGACTCCATGAGTGATGCCACTTACAGTATTTCTTCCTCTCATATCTTCTAGACTTGGTATAACTTGGCTTTCAGTAAGCTTGATTTGCCCATCAGCCAAAAGAAAATCAAATATTTCATCGACCTTATTTATGTCAAAAGAATAATACTGGACATCCTTTGACTTGACCATGACAGAACCCTTTTCCTTTGCTTTAGCTGGTTTCAAAGCAGGACAAGTGTATGGCTTTTCTATTATCATCTTGGCAACTGCCACCTCAGCGTACTCTGACTCGTCTTCATCGACTAGTGTTTCATCGACAAAGTTCATCTCGTGTCTAGTATGCTTCCTATCCTTTTCTTTCAAAAAGTTTTCATGCTTCACAGCAATGGTAGTCAACGAAAACAAATTGTAATAGGCCTGACCTACCATTCTTTCCCTAATGGCAAACTTTAAACCATTAAAGGCAAATTCAGCAAACGTCCTCTCGGGTAATGGTACAAGGCATCTATTTCTTGCCTTTCTGAATCGAAACATGAACTGATCAACGGATTCATTATTATACTGTTTCATTGCTGATAAATCTGCCACAGACATGTCTGGCACTGCCCTTTGAAACTGACTATGAAACATCATTTCCATTTGATCCCAAGAGGTTATAGAAAGAGGCGGTAGAGATGTGTACCAGGTAAAAGCGGTTTTTGGACAATGATAATGAGAATAAGCTCAACTTCCAATGATCTCCATACGTAGCATCTCCACATAAAGCAGTGAATCGATTGATATGCTCCTATGTTGACTGTTCGTCTTCGCCAGTAAACAGACTAAATTCCGGCATCTTAAACCCCCTTGGGTACGGAATGGTATCCATCCATTCCGGGTAAGGCTTCCTGTACACTTGTCTAAAAACTCCTGGTTCACCACCGTATTGCCGTAACATTGGATCAACTATATGATGATTTTGTCCTAGTGGGATTACAACTGGTGGTGCATTTTGTTGCAGAGGTTGATGCATCTGATATTGGGGTATTGGCACTTGTGGTCTTGGTTGTAGTAATGGATATTGTGCTACTGGCTGTGGATGCTGTGCAGCTGGATTCTGTAGTGGTGGTTGCGGATATTGTGGAATTGTGTTTTGCAATGGTGGTTGCAGATATTGTGAAATTGTGTTTTGTAATGGTGGTTGTGGATATTGTGGAATTGTGTTTTGCAATGGTGGTTGTGGATATTGTGGAATTGGCTGTGGTGGTGTTACATTCCTCCCCAGACTATCTGTATTTACATTTGGCCTGAACAACATCTGAGGAATGTTTGGTTGAGCCGCAAAACCACCAGACACCGTGTTGTCGTGCAATTGATACGGAACAGTATTCTGAGGAACCAAATTTGCAGTAGTCACATTTGTTTGAACTGAACCAGACGAGTTTGCTCCATTGGCTGCTAGTTGACCCGTATTGATATTCTTGTTTCGATGTATTGGATTAACTGCATTACCTTCAATTGTTGACAAGTGGGCGTGTGTTTGATTTGCCAATGCATTTTCCCCTCTCTGAAGAATTCTTACTGGCGCAAGAGGCATAATTTGCCCTGCTGTTGCACTGCCAGAGTTCGTAACTATGGGTTGTCCAAGACCTCCAACTGCACCTGGAGGTACAACTGGGACAGTCTATGGTTGAGAAGAATTCATCGACAAATTCGGCCTTCCAGTGATCTCTTGAACCGTGTTGATAAACAATGGCCTAACAGTGTCAGCCACGCATCTAGTAACCAGATTAGCCAAATCATTATGTTGTTCTTCCATGATTCTTCTCATAGTAGCAAGTGTAACTGGATTTGGTTCCAGTTGCCTTCTTTGCTCTTCAGTAAGGTGTCTGGGAACGTCTCTCTCTCCTACCTGACCTGCTCTGTGATTGTTCGCCTGTTTGATGATTTTGCGCGCGTCACTCGTTCTACAGCAGGATTCGGGGGTGCACTGCTCCCTGGAACATTGTTATTCTGGTCTAATTGGCTCTGACTTCTCGTTCGTGCCATTGTCACTCCTCCAATTGATCTAAGAAGTCCCACCGGGCGTGCCAAAATTATGTTTCGTCGAAAAATGTCCTCACGACGAAATATAATTCACCGAAAGTCGTTCTTCGGCTCTTAATGAAAGGAGACTGAGTTCTAGATCTAATTCCGAACAGGAGCAATCCAAGCGTGAATAAGGAACTTGAGTTTTACGGAAGATCTAGACGAATCCATCCAATTGCTGGTGGCGTCCAAACGTTACAAAGAGCTGAGCAACTATAGCTAAAGAAACTGAAAGTGCGAAACTGGAGAATAAAGACTATAATTATGAAAGCTAAAAGTGCGAAACTGGGAAGTAAAGATAAAAGACAACATTTGTTTTGTTCATGTGTGCCGGGGGGCTTTTCTGTTGGTAATCAGATGCTATTTATAGAGCAGACTTGGTAACCGTTCTTGGTGTTGTATCCAATCTCTACCGTTGATTTCATCTTTACCGTTCATGTGATGACACCTGTTTATCAACGGTTATCGATCTTATCTTTCGTACGAAGTGAGAACTGCTTTTGAGCCCATTTAGTCTCTGAAACGTTAACCGTCATCGAGCCCATTGGTTTTCTGTCTGACACCTATCCCTCGGGATGATAACCGTCATCGAGCCTTTCCTCCATTCGACACCTGTTTCTTGAGATGATAACTGTCATCGAACCTTTTCTCCATTTGACGCCTGTCGCTTAGGATGATAACCGTCATCGATTTTTTCCTCCGTTTGACACCTGTCGCTTGGGATGATAACCGTCATCAATCTTTTCCTCCGTTTGACACCTGTCTCTTGGGATGATAACCGTCATCGAACTTTTCCTCCGTTTGACACCTGTCTCCTGCGATGATAACCGTCATCGAACTTTTCCTCCGTTTTACACCTGTCTCCTGGGATGATATCCTTCATCGAACTTTTCCTCCGTTTGACACCTGTCTCCTGAGATGATATCCTTTATCGAACTCTTTCTCCGTTTGACACCTGTCTCTTGAGATGATAACCGTCATCGAACTTTTCCTCCGTTTGACACCTGTCCATTGGAAATGAGGACCTTCGTCGAGCCTTTCTGGCTTAACATCCATCACCCTTTTCATCGATTTCATCGATGAGAAGCACTTTTAGCACTTGGATATCTGTCTTTTCTGGAACAAAGGCTTTCATCGAATCTTTTATAGCTTCTCTCCGTCTTCTTCTTGTTGATATCTTCGACGAAAATACCTTCGGCATTTTTCATCCCTCTCTATCTGAATTTCAAATTTCCCGCTTATGACTGTCCGTACCTACCAGCTGTCATTTTAGTACAGGTGATGTCATCTCTTGTCCTTTTATTCATATATCCTCACGACGAAATCTCTAATTAATTTCGGGTGTCAACACACTCAATATGGATTATGGTCATCTACCCAGCTCTTCGATCATGGATGCGAAACATGAACTACTTAATCCTTCAAATGGTCTTTTTTTGGTGGCATTATTATTGTTGCAATTAAGTTATTAAAACCCAGTCAGTGGATAGTTTATTGTTGTTGCTTTGGGGCGTTGACGGTCCATAACGGGTGGAGCTCAGCATGCTGACAAAAGGCAATGGACTTAGCTGATATTTTATTACTTGTGAAAGTATCCAAGCAAGCCGCATGTTTGCATATTATATACTTGACAGAGTTATCTGGCTATTGCCATAACAGTTAAATCTTCACTTTTCTTTTCTTCTATTTTTCTAATAGCACTTGGGGTCGAATTTGCTTCATTGCTTGTATTGATTCACTTATAATCATTTTTACTCTGTTATAGTGACATATTGAAAAAAAAAACGTGAAATTCAGTCTCATATAAGTTTGTTTTGTTTATTTGTCAGAACTCAGGTAAGTTTGTTGGATAAGGGAAATATACTCTAGTTTTTTGTTGCTTTCTATTAAAAATGTTTCTTCTGATTCAATTAATTTTCTTCTCTGAGATTCTTTCCTTCGGAGTTTCGAATTGATGTGGATCGTGTCATTGCTGTGGAGCCAGCAAAAACTGCATTGGCTATCAAGGCCAAGATCCGCCGCCTTGTTGTGGCCGAGGGAATCCCTTATACCCATGTGTCTTCTAACTTTTTTGCAGGTTACTTCCTTCTGACGTTGTCACAGCCCGGGGCTACAGCTCCCCCTAGAGACAAAGTTGTTATCTTAGGGGATGGAAATGCAAAAGGTAAGAAGCAATTTCTTGAAACACCCATTTTAATTTGTTAAGATTTTTCTGTACATTTTTCACACTTAATTACGGTAGTGATCAGAGTGAGGGGCAATTCTTGAAGGTTGAGAATTCCAGGCAACTTCCCTGTCCAGAGATGTTGAGCTTTTACATCCATTAGTCTTTCACTTTCAGAGACCAATTGATGATATGAATGTGATGTGGTTTAACTTGGCACAATACCACTTAGTTGGCAGATCACGAAGGTTATCTTTATGTATTTGGTTGAGAAAAGAACATGTGGATGCATTTGTCTGCTAGTTGTCTGATGAATCTGTTTACGAGAGGCTTCTTCTTCAATGTGAGGCGAAAGTAACTCTAGGATGATCAATGGCTCCGTGATTTATTTATTAGCCAAATTCTAATGCTCTCCCTGTCAATACACAGCGGTGTTCAACAAGGAGGATGACATCGGCACCTATACCATCAAAGCTGTGGATGATCCAAGGACCTTGAACAAAATTCTGTACATCAGACCTCCTGCCAACACCTACTCTTTTAATGAGCTCGTGTCTTTGTGGGAGAGAAAGATCGGCAAGACCCTGGAGAGGGTGTATGTTCCAGAGGAGCAGCTTCTGAAGAACATTCAAGGTTAGGAATGCATTTCTATTAGATTTAAGCACGTGAAATCGTCTCTATTTTTTCTGAGATTGAAAGCTTCGATTGGTCTACTTGTCCGGTCATATTGCAGAGGCGGCGGTTCCACTAAATGTGTTATTGTCCATATCACATTCTGTTTTCGTGAAAGGAGATCACACCAACTTCGAGATTGAGCCATCGTTCGGAGTGGAAGCATCGGAGCTCTACCCCGACGTCAAATACACGACCGTGGATCAGTACCTTGATCAGTTCGTCTGATAGTCGAAATTGAACGTGCTTGGTAGATTTCTCACATCAGTTTGAATCATGAATAATCTAGGATTTTGCTTTGTTAGGACCTGGCGCGAAATGTCGCTCTCGCTTATCATCTCATGGCATGTACAACGTCCAAATATAAGGACATAGTAATTTTTTTTTACTAGATAAGGACATAATATGAACGTTCGATATGTGCGCATTTGTTAGATGTATGCCCTAAAGTTACCATGTAATAGTTACATGTTAGGGATTTAAGTTGTACTTTCAATTACATTATTTATTTAATGGCAAGGACGCATTCATTCATTTGTCCAATTATTTAAATATATGAATGATTTCATAAGATCAGTTGTGACTGGACCTATTCTTGAGACGTGAAGAATATGTGTGACAGGTTCACAGTTAGACTGAATCTATCTTTAAATTGTTCTCGGTCGATGGATCGTTGAGTGGATATTAATGATCCTGTTGAGACCGGTGTGTTCGTAACTTCACCAATAAGTATTGGATACTTAAGGGAATGACGAGTCACGAGTCATTGGATATTGCGATATCCGAGTTAGAACACAGGTGCTTGTATCAGACAAGTTCACTGAACGTGACATGCATAGAACGATTAGCAACATGGAAACTTTTAGCGTGGTCAATGTCTAATTGTTCGTGCTCTGGTTTTGTGTAAATAATCCTTAGACCTGAGGTACAGTGTTGACTTGTATATTGGATGGCTATGGTTCACGGGCACGCTACGAGAGTGTGTTCGTGAGAGTCAAGAAAATACGTTTTTCTCTCTTCCGACGCCGTGACTGAAATATCGAGAGTGCGAAGAATTGTCACCACAAGATTGCTAGCACAATTCTATTGGTGATTATCCGCAAGTTCTTCCTTCCGTTCGTCGTGCAATTGGTGGTGTGTCTGAACTAGAGGTCCGACGGTTGTGGGGCTCGAACTGAAGAACATTCGAACCAAAATCATTTTGGGCACGCTACGAGAGGTAATCCGTTTAACCCCCTATGGTCTTTCGATTTTTGATTGAAACGCACGAACAACGCCTTTGGAGATACATGTGTGGTTATATCTTTCCGCTGCGTTTATATTTTTAACTATGCATGTTCCGTAGAAAACCAACATCTATGCAGTGCTTGGAGAAGTTATTTCTGTTTTGAAGTTGATATGGGTTTATGGGCCAAGCTAAAAGAAAGACATGAGTTCTATAATTTTGTATATTATACGTTATACGTCCTTGGAGTGGTTAATGAATTGGAGCCGCTAATGATGAGTTCAAGGCTCGAGCCTCGCCCCAGGCATGTGAAGTCGACCCTTGGTGAGGGCGTTGTGCAATTGCCCGGCCGTCGCCCGCCATCTCTTTAAAATTTCAAAAATTGTCTACCACAGTATCGACAAACCACGTGAGAAGGCCGGCGTTCAGCAATACAATCAACGATTTCCGGTCAAATTTGATTGGAAAAAGTACATGGACAAATCATTAAAATTTTATAACTAAATTGGTGAAATCGAAAAATTTAGAATTGAACTGGTTTTCATTTCATAGGCTTAGGACTTTTTGATAATCATTCCATGTTTCAATAATGACAATGTTGCTCTCTTTTTTCCTTTTTTTTTTATAAGTTATGAATTACATATAAAGTAATCTCATGTGGGCCAATAAATTAAAGAAGGGTAACTTTGTAATCAACCCTCCTTGAAAACGAATTTATTGCACCTCAAAACAATCCTATAGCGGCTATGAAGCTCTATGATATCATGCTAGCATATGAATGTAGAGTAGCTCATTGCCCACTTCATACCATTTTTTTTTTCATATGATAAAGTCAACTTTAAAAAGTGGTTTCAACTACTTCCTCATGAATTACACGAAAAATCATGGTGAATTATAATAATTTGATATTAACCGAGAAATAAAATCACAATATTAAATTGATTTCACATTTATGATCACTTAAATTTTATAGCAGCATCAAAATTAAAATTTCCTATTTTTTGGTAAGGTAAAATTTTCTTATTTCACAATAATTTAAATCATCTCCCAAACTACTAACTAGACAACTGGTGCGTTTAGTTCAGCATTTTGAAGGGGTTTTGGGAAAATGCAAAGCAGTTTAGCTTAAAGGATTTTGGGGAAATGCAAAGACTGTTTGTTATACTCTGCTTTGAAAAGCAACTTTGAGATAAAAGCTATTTGGTGAAAGCACATTTGGAAAGTCCATTTGAGTGATTAATTTAAAGTTTTTGATTTTTAATTGGTTTAAAATGGAAAAAAATGTCTGCAACTTTTTTAATTTAAATATTGACAACAATGTTAACAGATATCATGTAAACAATTTTATTAAAAAAATAAAATTTCGTATTTTTGCTAAAAAAAATTCAAATGGAAAATTCACATCAAAGTGGTCTCTTTCTCAATTAAAAAAGAATACTTTTATTACAATAATTGTGGAAACATATGCCCAAACGAAAGAAATTCAGTATCCTTAAAAATTACAAACATCCTTAAATATTTCCTAAACTTATAGCTATTTGATCATGTAAACGTGCCATGTTAGAAGGAGATTCATCATTTGAAGCATTGCTCTCCTCATTTACATCATCAGTATATAAATTGAGATCAAAATCTACTTCTGCAAAATGTGCATCATTCACAATATTTTTTTCGTATATAATTATGCAAAGTCATTGCCTCTATCACAATTTTTACTTGCTTTTTGTATGGATAATTTGGCATACTCTTTAGAATCTTCCACTTCTTCTTCAATACATCAAAGGCACACTCAATTTCTGATCGAAATGAGGAATGGGCACGGTTGAACACTTCTTTATAGCCTGTAGGTGCCGGACCTCGTTGAAACTCAGGCAAATGATACCTAACTTCTTTGTATGGACTCAAGTAACCACGCCTCCCCCGTGACAACTCTCCGATGGCCGAGAAGACGAGCAAAGTGCTGGTGATCGGAGGCACTGGATACATCGGAAAGTTCATCGTGGAAGCGAGCGCTAAGTCCGACCACCCTACCTTCGCTCTCGTGAGGGAGTCCACTCTCTCCGACCCCACCAAGGCCAAAATCGTCGAAGGCTTCAAGAGCTTAGGCGTCAATTTACTTCAAGTGAGTAGTTATTCCCGTGTGGATTGTGTTCGTGGCTGCATCCGTTAATCTCGTTCGTCTTTCTGAGAAATGTTTGTAGCAGTAGAACCGGAGGTGACTTTTATCTCAATCTTTCACTTGATTTTTATTGATCGTTTGTCCATGCTCTTGGTTGTTTGATTCTCAGGGAGACATACACGATCAAGAGCGTCTACTGAATGCGATTAGGCAGGTCGATGTGGTAATCTCTGCTGTCGGGAGAGAGCAAGTAGAGGACCAAGGCAAGATTGTTGCCGCCATTAAAGCAGCCGGGAATGTCAAGGTGGTGCTGTTCCTAATGATTTAGTCCTTGTTACTATTGTTCGTTTACCATTTGACTGATGATATAGGCTGTGTTAGCTTATTCTTTCTTCTGGTATAGGTGCACCGCGTTCTCCTCGTGTAGAAGTGATTGGTGAAATTCGAGGATAACTATTTCAAACCCAAAGTATATTGTGTGGACTTCTAATTGTGCTGCTCTGAATCCACACTATTGCTTTTTGACGTATTTAATTTGGGTAGGGAGTGCTGTCGTCATGGACGCGCATATTTTTAACTCGAGATTTGCATCTTCACACACACAAAGGTTCTTCGATCCCAAACTCGTGCCCTCCTCTGTCTCGATCCTGGTATGGATATTGGGCTTCCCACATATTCCAGGAGACTTTATCTATCCAGAACCTGTGTGGTCGGGTTTCCTCAAGGTCAGCCAAAAATGTAAAAAAATTCGAGCACTCCATATGGATACTGGCCGTCTAGCCCAGCTCTCTGATCATGAATTCGTGGGAAACACGAACTAGTTAATCCTTGAAATGGTCTTTATGAGTAGTATAATCATTGTTGCAAATATGTTGCCCAATCCCACTTGCTGGGATAGGACTTAGTAGTTGTTGTTGCTTTGGGTGGTTGACGGTCAATAGTGAGTCGAACTCAGCATGCTCCTAAAAGGCAATGGACTTACCTGGTATCTTATTACTTACGAAAGTGTCCAAGCAAGCAGCATGTTTGCCTATTTCACTTGACAGAGTTATCTGGCTGCTGCCCTGTTTCTTCTATTTTTCTAATAGCACTTGAGGTGGAATTTGCTTAATCGCTGAATTTATTGATTCACTTATAATCACTTTTTACTCTGTCTCATATAAGTTTGTCTTCCTTTTTTTTTTTGCCAGAACTCATTTAAGTTTGTTGGTTAAGGGGGATATGCTCTAAATTTTTGTGGCTTTCTAATAAAGATGTTTCTTCCGATTTGATTATGTTTCTTTTCAGAGATTCTTGCCTTCGGAGTTTGGAGGTGATGTGGATCGTGCCCTTGCTGTGGAGCCATTGAAAGCTTCACTTGCCATCAAGGCTAAGATCCGCCGCCTTGTTGAGGCTGAGGGAATCCCTTATACCTATGTATGTTGTAACTGTTTTGCGGGCTATATCCTTCAGACCTTTGCACAGCCGGGGGCTACAGCTCCCCCTAGAGATAAAGTTGTCATCTTAGGGGATGGAAATGCAAAAGGTAAGAAGGAATTCGTAGAAATTCGCTTTTTAAGGCGTTGAGATTTTTATGTACATCTTTCACGATGTAATAACGGTAGTGGTCAGAGTGAGGGGCAGTTCTTGAAGCTTGAGAATTCCAGGCAGCTTACTTGTCTGGAGATGTTGAGCCTTTTGCATCCATTAGTCTTCAATTTTGGGGACTAACGATGATATGAATGTCATGTGGGTTATGTTCGCACAGGGCTGCCTGTTCAGCATATTAAGAAGGTTATCTTTATATGTTTGGTTGATAAAAGGACATATGGATGCATTTATCTGCTAGTTGTCTGATGAATCTGTTTACCGAGAGAATTCTTCTTCAATGTGAGTCGAAAGTAACTCTAGGAAGATTGATGGCTCTGCGATTTACTTATTAGCCAGATTCTAAAACTCTCCCTGTCAATATACAGCGGTGTTTAACAAGGAGGAGGACATCGGCACCTATACCATCAAAGCCGTGGATGATCCAAGGACCTTGAACAAAATTCTGTACATCAGACCTCCTGCCAACACCTACTCGTTTAATGAGCTCGTGTCTTTGTGGGAGGGAAAGATCGGCAAGGCCCTGGAGAAGGAGTATGTTCCAGAGGAGCAGGTTCTGAAGAACATTCAAGGTTAGGGATGCATTTCTATCAGATTTAAGCCCGTGAAATCGTCTCTACTTGTCCTGTCAATTGGTCTATAGCTTCAATTGGTTTACTTGTCCTGTCATATCGCAGAGGCGTCGGTTCCACTCAATACCTGGTTGGCCATATTGCATTCTGTTTTCGTGAAAGGAGACCAAACCAACTTCGAGATTGAGCCACCATTCGAAGTGGAAGCTTTGGAGCTCTACCCCGACGTCAAATACACGACCGTGGATCAGTACCTTGATCAGTTTGCCTGATTATCGAAACCGACTGTGCTTGGTGAATTTCTCACATCAGCTTGAATCATAAATAATATAGGGTTCTGCTTCTCAGGATCCTAGCGTGAAATGTCGCTCCTGCCGATCATCTCAAGGCATGTACAACCTCCAAATATAAGGACATACTATGAAGTATGAATATTCAATGTGGGCGCATCTCTGCTGTGCTTGGAGAGGTTACTTCTGTTTTGGCCCAAGCTAACAAAAAGGGATTTAGTGCAATTTCAAATCCCAAAAAATAAAAAATACTAATCTCGTGATCGACCCTCGTCGGAAAAGGATATTAGTGCACCCCGAACAACGGCATAGTGACTATGAAACTCCACGATAGCTCATTGCCATTTCATACCATTTTCACTCATTTTTTTCCATTTGAAAAAGTAAACCCAAAAAATGGTTAAATTTCTTCGGGAAAAGTTTCATAAAATTCCTAAACCTATGACATTTGTGCCAATTAGTCACAAACTTTTTTTTGTGTTAATTCAGTCGTAAACCTTTTGCCTTTGTGCCAATTCAATCCTTCCGACTAATTTTGGCCAGATATTGCTAACGTGGACGCCGGTCGGCTTACGTGGCACCGCTGGCGATGAGGTGGACAACTTTTAAATAATATTTTAATATTTTTCGAATTTATTTATTTAATTTTTTCTTTTCTTTCTTTTTCTTTTTTTTTTTCCTTTCCCTTTCTTCTTCCTCCGGCGACCGGCTGAAGGCCAGGGCAGGTGAGGTCCCTCGCTAGTGGCCGGCGAGGCTCGCCCTTGCCAGCGATGGCGAAAGTGAGCCTCGCCCAACCGCTGGTGAAGCTCGCTCGCCCTCGCCAGTGACCACGACTGAATTGGCACAAAAAAAGGTTTATGACTAAATTGGCATTAATGCAGTAGGTTTATGACTTTTCTGACACTTTTCCCCAATTTCTTCCTCCTTAATTACATGAAAAACCATTATAATAATTATAATAGTACAATATCAATCGAGAAACAAAGTAAACTCATAGCATAAATTTAATAGAATCTCTAACACTTCAACATAATGATAACTTAAATCTCTAGCACCATCCAAGCTATTTTATTGAGATTGCTTTCTCTTTGGCTTCGTACCACAACTCTCAGCTTCACAGCTTTTAATAAAAGTTGAGCGTCCCAAACAAAGCGCAAATGTCAATAATATCTGATGAAGAAAACAGCCCGAACTCATGTCAACAATATTTAGTGAAGAAAGATAAAATTAGCTTATTTTGTCAAAAAGCAACCACCAACTTCAATCTTCGGCAGGGAAGTTTTCATTCTTGAATTTCATGGAGAAACATGCAGCTCATCATAAATCATAAATCACTGACTGTTGATTTCTTTTTTTTTATCTTCATAGAGATTTTGTCAACACAACAATCGATTATATATTATTCTGACAGCCTTCCTTAATTTTTATTTTAGAATTCAACGGCACCAAGCATTGTCTTTAATTTTTGAAACGAAACCGTCTTCATGTATTTGGTTGATAAAAGGACATACGGATGCATTTATCTGCTAGTCGTCTGATGAATCTGTTTACCGAGAGAATTCTTCTTCAATGCGAGTCGGAAGTAACTCTAGGAAGATTGATGGCTCTGCGATTTACTTATTAGCCAGATTCTAAAACTCTCCCTGTCAATATACAGCGGTGTTTAACAAGGAGGAGGACATCGGCACCTATACCATCAAAGCCGTGGATGATCCAAGGACCTTGAACAAAATTCTGTACATCAGACCTCCTGCCAACACCTACTCGTTTAATGAGCTCGTGTCTTTGTGGGAGGGAAAGATCGGCAAGGCCCTGGGGAACGAGTATGTTCCAGAGGAGCAGGTTCTGAAGGAACATTCAAGGTTAGGGATGCATTTCTATCAGATTTAAGCCCGTGAAATCGTCTCTACTTGTCCTGTCAATTGGTCTATAGCTTCAATTGGTTTACTTGTCCTGTCATATCGCAGAGGCGTCGGTTCCACTCAATACCTGGTTGGCCATATTGCATTCTGTTTTCGTGAAAGGAGACCAAACCAACTTCGAGATTGAGCCACCATTCGAAGTGGAAGCTTCAGAGCTCTACTCTGATGTCAAATACGTGACCGTAGATCAGTTCCTTGCTCAGTTTGCCTGATTATCTAAGCCGACTGTGCTTTGTAAATCTCTTACATCAGCTTGAATCATAAATAATATAAGGTTCTGCTTTTCGGAATCCTAGCGTGAAATGTCGCTCCCGGCTCCCGCTGATCATCTCATGGCATGTACAACCTCCAAATATAAGGACATACTATGAAGTATGAATATTCAATGTGGGCGCATCTCTGCTGTGCTTGGAGAGGTTACTTCTGTGTTGGCCCATGCTAACAAAATGGAATTTAGTGCAATTTCAATTCCCAAATAAAAAAAAAATACTAATCTCGTGATTGACCCTCGTTGGAAAAGGAATTTAGTGCACCCCAAAACGATGGCATAGCGACTATGAAACTCCATGATATCATGATAGTTCATTGCCATTTCATACCAATTTTAACCCCTTTTTGTTATTTGATAAGCTAACCCAAAAAGTAAATACAATTTCGTCCTTTTCAATTACATGAAAAAACATTGTAATAATTATAATAGTACAATATCAATCGAGAAATAAAATAAAATCATAATATATATTTAATAGAATCTCTATATCTTCAAGATAATGATTACTTAAATCTCTAACACCCTCCGAACTCTGTTGGAACCAAAAGAATATTAATATGAACTTTGAAAATTTGGAATTGGAGCAAAAAACATTGGAGGGAGAACATTTTTATTAGGAATGCTTTCTCTTGGGCATCGTATTCCAACTCTAAGCTTTGGACTCGATCATGTTCTTAAAATGCTTCGTTCGAGCCTCGTGCAGACCTCGATATCTCTTAACGTAAAATAATAAAAAGGTATTTCCTCCTTCGAGGAAGATAAAGATACAAGAGGACCATGGGGGCCCTAGGTTGTCCGGCCGCCGGCTTCGTACTACAACTCGCAGCTTCACAGCCATTTATAAAAGCTAAACGTACACAAGCTAAGCACAAAGTCAACAATATTTAATGAAGAAAGGTAAAATAGCTTACTTTGTCATAAAGTAACCACCAACTCCTCTCTTCAGCGGAGAAGTTTTCAATCTTAAATTCCGTGCAGAACAATGCATTCAACCATAAAATTCAGGGCTCTTGATTTATTTTTTAATCTTCATGGAGATTTTTTTTTTTTGGTAAGGAAATCTTCATGGAGATTTTGTCAACACAAAAATCAACTTTATATTATTCAAATAAACTTAAATTCAAAATTTCTTATTTTTGGTAAGTTAAGGATGCGTTTGATAACATTTTTATTCTCGAGAACAATTTCTTTTCCTTAGATGAGTTTCTGAGTAGAAAAATGCGTTTGGTAACTGCACAAAATTTCTTTTCTTAGAATAGAAAAAGAACAGAAAAACGTTTGGTACAATCCTAAAAAAATTTTGTGACATGGAAATCTTTTTTAGTCTTTTAATAATTGTCTGATTTTTTTTAATATTTTGAATTTTTCTTGTTTTTCTTTTCTTTTTTTCCTCTTTTCTTCTTCTTTCTCTCGTAGCTGGTCACCAGGCCTCGACTAGAGACAAGGGCCTGTGAGGTCAGCAAGGTTGACCTTGCCAGCCCTCATCTCTAGCCTGTCGCCGAGGCCCAGCGACCGGTTAGAGGAGGAAGAAGAATGAAGAAAAAGAGAAAAGAAAATGACCTTGTTTTAGAAATTGTTCATTTGAACAAAAAAATAAATTTCTTTTACTTCTTGTTTCTATTCCAAATATATTTCCTCGCTACTTTTTTATTCCGGAGAATAGAAAAATTAGATGACATTATCATGCGTATTTCTATTCTTTTTCTGTAGTGAATAACAAAAGAACATAAAAATAGAAAAATAAGAGAGTTACCAAGCATGCCCGAGTTGTTCAAAATAGTTCGCATCATCGGTCAAATTCGATAAAATCGATGGACAAGTACTTTGCATCTAATTTTCTTCTGTCTTTCGTGGTCCACTTTGCATGTACTCATTTTCCAAGGGAAGGATGATAGGGCGGAAAGTCAATTCAACGAAAAGACAATTATGCCCTTTTGGAGTCGAAATAAAATGACGATTCATCTCCATGCCCGCCAACACCAGCAAGTTACCGCACGAGATCGAGCAAGTTCGCCGGGAAAAACCACGCCTCCCCCGTGACAACTCTCCGATGGCCGAGAAGACGAGCAAAGTGCTGGTGATCGGAGGCACTGGATACATCGGAAAGCCCATCGTGGAGGCAAGCGCTAAGTCCGGTCACCCTACCTTCGCTCTCGTGAGGGAGTCCACTCTCTCCAGCCCCACCAAGGCCAACATCGTCGAAGGTTTCAAGCGCTTAGGCGTCAATGTAGTTCGTGTGAGTAATTATTCCCGTGCGGATTGTGTTCGTGGCTGCATCCGTTAATCTCGTTCGTCTTTCTGAGAAATGTTTGTAGCAATAGAACCGGAGGTGACTTTTATCTCAATCTTTCACTTGATTTTTATTGATTGTTTGTCCATGCTCTTGTTTGTTTGATTCTCAGGGAGACATACACGATCAAGAGCGTCTACTGATTGCGATTAGGCAGGTTGATGTGGTAATCTCTGCTGTCGGGACAGAACAACTGGAGGACCAAGGCAAGATTGTTGCCGCCATTAAAGCAGCCGGGAATGTCAAGGTGGTGCTGTTCCTAATGATTTAGTCCTTGCTACTATTGTTCGTTTACCATTTGACTGATGATATAGGTTGGTGTGAGCTTATTCTTTCTTCTGGTATAGGTGCACCGCGTTCTCCTCGTGTAGAAGTGATTGGTGAAATTCGAGGATAACTATTTCAGACCCAAGTATAGGACAGTGTGGGCTTCTAAGTGTGCTGCTCTGAATCCACACTATTGCTTTTTGACGTATTTAATTGGGTTGGGAATTCTGTCATCATGGATGCGCATGTATTGACTCAGAGATTTACATCTTCACACACACAAAGGTTCTTTGATCCCAAACTCGTGCCCTCCTCTGTCTCGATCCTTGTATGGATATTGGGCTTCCCGCATATTCCAGGAGACTTTATCTATCCTGAACCTGTGTGGTCGGGTTTCCTCTAGGTCAGCCAAAAATGTAAAAACTTTCGAGCACTCAATATGGATTATGGCCGTCTAGCCCAGCTCTCTGATCATGAATTCGTGGGAAACACGAACTAGTAAATCCTTGAAATGGTCTTTTTCAGTAGTATTATCATTGTTGCAACTATGTTACCCAATCCCACTTGCTGGGGTGGCCTTACCTGATGTCTTATTACTTTTGAAAGTGTCCAAGCAAGCAGCATGTTTGCCTATTTTATACTTGACAGAGTTATCTGGCTGTTGCCCTGTTTCTTCTATTTTTCTAATAGCACTCAGGGTCGAATTTGCTTAATTGCTGAATTTATTGATTCACTTATAATCACATTTTACTCTATTATCATAACATATTGAAACAGCACAAAATTCAGTCTCATATAAGTTTGTCTTCGTCTTGTTTTTGCCAGAACTCATTAAAGTTTGTTGGTTTAGGGGAATATGCTCTTAATTTTGTTGCTTTTTAATAAAGATGTTTCTCATGATTTGATTATGTTTCCTTTTAGAGATTCTTGCCTTCGGAGTTTGGAGGTGATGTGGATCGTGCCCATGCTGTGGAGCCAGTGAAAGCATTACTTGCCCTCAAGGCTAAGATCCGCCGCCTTGTTGAGGCAGAGGGAATCCCTTATACCTATGTATGTTCGAACTGTTTTGCGGGTTACTTCCTTCCGACATTGTCACAGCCTGGGGCTACAGCTCCCCCTAGAGATAAAGTTGTCATCTTAGGGGATGGAAATGCAAAAGGTAAGAAGCAATTAGTTGCAATGCGCTTTTTAAGCCATCAAGATTTTCCTGTACATCTTTAACGATTTCCTAACGGTAGTGATCAGAGTGAGGGGCAGTTCTTGAAGCTTGAGAATTCCAGGCAACTTCCTTGTCTGGAGATGTTGGGCCTTTTGCATCCATTAGTCTTCAATTTTGGGGACTAATAGATGATACGAATTTCACGTGGGTTATTTTGGCATAGGACCGCCTGTTCAGCATATTAAGAAGGTTATCTTGATGTATATGGTTGAGAAAAGAATATACGGATGCTAGTTGTCTGATGAATCTGTTTATCGAGAGAATTCTTCTTCAATGCAAGCCGAAAGAAACTCTAGGAAGATTGATGGCTCTGCGATTTATTTATTAGCCAGATTCTAAAACTCTCTGTGTCAATATACAGCGGTGTTTAACAAGGAGGATGACATCGGCACATACACCATCAAAGCTGTGGATGATCCAAGGACCTTGAACAAAATTCTGTACGTCAGACCTCCTGCCAACACCTACTCGTTTAATGATTTGTGTCTTTGCGGGAGAGAAAGATCGGCAAGGCCCTGGAGAGGGTGTATGTTCCAGAGGAGCAGGTTCTGAAGAACATTCAAGGTTAGGATGCATTTCTAATAGATTTAAGCATGTGAAATAATCTCTATTCTCAAGCTTCGATTGGTCTACTTTTCTGGTCATATTGCAGAGGCGGCGGTTCCACTCAATGCCATGTTGGCCATATTCCATTCTTATTTCGTGAAAGGAGACCAAACCAATTTCGAGATTGAGCCATCATTCGGGGTGGAAGCTTCGGAGCTCTACCCCGATGTCAAATACACGACCGTGGATCAGTACCTTGATCAGTTTGTCTGATTGTTGGAACTGACTGTGCTTCGTGATTTGATTTCTCACGTCAGCTTGCAATCATACATAGTATAGTAATCAGCTTGCAATCATACATAGCCATTGCTCAGGAGGAAGCTAATATCCAACCTATAATAGCCTCGTCGCTGACGGCCCGGCATCATTCCCGCCGTGTGAGAACAGGAGGCGAAAAAAGTTTGGACGACAGAACAGTGACACTAGAGGCGTTTTTTTACTTCAAAAAGTTCCAAGGCCTCCTTGTGGATCTCATCTTCAGCTTCCATGAACGCGACGATAGCATGAGATTTTTCAGCAGCAGGACTGCAAAGGATGCTTTTCGGGTCCTTGAGGCTGA